CTCTCTCTCTCTCTCTCTCTCTCTCTCTCTCTCTCTCTCTCTCTCTCTCTCTCTCTCTCTCTCTTCTTCTTTTCCTGTCCTCTGTATTTCTACCTATTTCTCATCATGTCCCTCTCTTTTCAGTCTTCATTTCTAACCACATCTCACTTTGTCTTCTCATAGCTTTCTAAAAAAAAGCTCTCTCTCTCCCTCTATCTTTTTCTCTCTCTCTCTTTCTTAGTTTGCCATCTTCCTCTCTTCTTCTCTCCCTGTCTCGTCTCGTCTCACTCCTCTTTCTTATACGTCACTGTCTGTAAAAGAGATTATTACCTAATATCCCTGTTCAAACAGTTGCATTGTGGGATCAGGGGCTCTGAGAATAAATGGCTGACGAGGATACACTGGCGACGAGGATAAAAGATTAAATTCGAGTGACAACTCAAGCTACAGCTGACGAGATGTCTTCCCTGAAACAGCTGGATGTAGGATTATTTCCTGAGTTTGATCTGACGGGGGATCCTTCCAGTGTTGGTCCCAGATGGCAAAAGTATTTGAAAGCCTTTAGGCGGTACGCTAATGCAAGAGGTGTCACTGATGAAAGTCAGAAAAGATACTTATTCTTAACATGTGGGGGTCAAAGGTCACAAGATTTATGTGACACCCTACACCCAGAAGACTCTGAGGAGGAAGAAGAAGGGGATGGAGATATAAATGTCAGCCAATCTGCCGGAGATGGTGGAGGAGAAGGAGCAGCGTTGGTAGTGGTGAGAGACAGGTTTAAAGAGACTGTTGAAATATTGTCAAAGCATCTTGTGGTGCAAGTTAACATGCCGTTCGAGAGACATATGTTTAAGAGGCTACTACATGAGGCAAATGAGCCTATAAGCCGCTACATCACACGGTTGAGAGAGAGGGCTGCCAACTGCGAATTCATAGATGAGGATGACCAAATCAGGGACCATATTATCCGTACGTATGGGTCCAGGAGTCTGCGTAGGAAACTCTTACAAACCGGAAAAGAGCTAACATTGGCGAAATTGCAAGAGATTGCTTGTGCCTATGAAGCTGTAGAGACTCAGTTGGAAAAAATGCGTCCAAATGACACTGTTCATAGAGTAATGGGTAAACCGCAAAGGGATAAACCGATTTAAGGTGACAAGGACCGAGTGTATCGGAAGACACCACGACCATCCCAAGGTGTGTGTTATAGATGTGGACAAAGCGGACACTACGGCAAAGATGTAACTTGCCCTGCTAAAGGCAAGAGGTGTAACAAGTGCCAGAAAATGGACCACTTTTCGAAAGTTTGCAAATCTAAGCATGTGAATGCCGTGCATACAGATGTGAGTGAGCAGAGTGAGAACAGCGGCGACCGAACAAGGGCTAAGTACGCATTTAAAATAGGTGACGCAAACATGGGGCGAGTGAAAGTGCATGTGGGTGGCGTGCCACTGCACATGTTGGTAGAATCGGGAGCCAGTGTCAACGTCATAGACAAAGAAACGTGGACCGATTTGAAAAGTCACGGCGTCATTTGTGTCTCCGGTACTGCCACACCTGCCAAATCACTTTTTGCATACGGGTGCAAGGAGCCACTGAAAACAATTGGAACATTTGCATCTGAAGTTTCAATAGGAGAAAAAAAGTGTGAAGCGGTCTTTGTTGTGATCGACGCCAAGGGTATTCCCTTATTAGGTCTGGAAACGGCGACGCAGATACAGGTCCTGAAGATACATGGAGACATAAACTCGGTTGGTGTTTTAGATATCACCAACACTCGGAGTTTGCTAATCCCGGAGATGAAGGCGAAACTTTAGACTGAGTTTAAAGATGCATTAGAAGGGGTGGGCAAACTCAAAGGTCACCAGGTAAAGTTGAAAACTGATCCTTTGGTTAAACCGGTTGCTCAGCCTGTACGCCGAACACCATTCAGACTGAAGGAAAAAGTAGAGAAGAAAATAGAGGAACTCGTAGAGGTGGACATAATAGAGCCAGTCGAGGAACCGACAGAATGGGTCAGTCCTACGGTAATAGTGCCGAAAGCCAATGACGACATAAGAATTTGTGTAGACATGAGACGCGTCAACCAGCCAGTAATGCGTGAACGTCACCCGATACCCACTACTGAAGAGCTGCTCCATTTGTATGTGTATGGGGTGAAATTCGACTTGGTGATGGACCACAAGCCGTTAGAGGTAATCTACTCGCCAAAGTCAAAACCATGTGCTCGGATCGAGAGATGGGGCCTCTGTCTACAACCGTATGCGTTCCGAGTTGTACACGTGGGCGGAACTAAGATGATAGTGAACCCGCCTTCGCGTCTGTTGAAAAGAGACGAGGCACCTGACGCAAACCTGGGGAAAGAGGCGGAAGAATATGTAAGATTCGTCGCAACTGAAGCAACTCCCAGGGCCATGACCACACGAGAAGTCGAGGAGTGCTCACACCAAGACATCGAACTGACACACGTTCGAAAATGCATCGAGACGGGCGAGTGGGGAAACCCGCACTGTGCCAAATATTTACCTGTGTGTGAGGAACTGTGCACCATTGGTCAAATCGTGATGCGAGGGACCAAAATGGTAATCCCGGTAGAGTTGCGTCAAAAGGTTACTGCCATTGCTCATGAAGGTCATGTGGGGATGTCCGGCACAAAACTCCGGCTCCGCACAAAAGTGTGGTGGCCAGGTCGCGACAAGGACGTAGAGAAATTTGTCCGAGCCTGCAGTGGATGTCAGCTAGTGGCTAGACCGACACCACCGGAACCAGTATCGCCAACCGAACTGCCACCCGGAAAGTGGCAAGACTTAGCCATCGACCTACTAGGACCGATGCCAACAGGAGAATATATATTCGTTGTCGTAGATTACTACTCCAGATACTATGAAGTGGCGACCACGACATCAGTGACCGCGAAGCGCATGATCGAGCTGTTAAGTAAGATGTTTGCAAGTCACGGACTACCGTTCACTATCACCAGCGACAACGGACCACAGTTTAGAGCAGAGACATTCGGTGAATTCTTGTCAGAGAACAACATAATCCATCGAAAGGTCACGCCATTGTGGGCACAGGCGAATGGTGAAGTGGAACGCCAAAACCGCTCCATGTTGAAAAGCATGAAGATCGCGCACGCTGAAGGCAAAAACTGGCGAACGGAGTTAGTGACATACCTCCGATCTTATCGCACGACTCCGCACAGCGTTACTAGAAAACCGCCAGGCGACTTGTTTTAGGCAGAGCAATTCGGACGTAACTTCCAGAACTCCGTCAATTCGTGCCGAACGACGGGGAAATGAGGGACAGAGACTGGGAGAAGAAGATTGGAGGCAAAATCTACGCCGACGCCAGGAGAAACGTTAGGGAGAGCGACATAGCACCGGGTGACACCATGTTGGTCAGGCAGAGGAAAGTCGATAATCTTACCACAGACTTCAGACCCGACCAGTACAGCGCTGTGGAATAAAAGGGAAACAGCGTTGTGATTGAGTCACCACAAAACGTGACATACAAACGAAACATCACAGAGGTGAAGAAATTCGACACACCGGATGAGGGCAATGCCGTCCCTACCGACAACGTTATACTGACGGAGGCCGACCATCCAGGCAACGAAAGGCTCCAGACCGCTATGGAGAGTGGGTGTCTGCTGTGCTGTCCCCCAGTGACATTTGACTGTCCATGTGATAAGTGGTATTGGCCAGTGACAATTAATCTAACCACAATCACAGCTTTGACTCGTGACACGGGCAGAATAATCCCTGAGCAAAGCTTAGACTTAGGCAGTCTACCTACAGTCTATCACTGTTGTTTACTCAAAATGTTTATAGTTTGTATTTCATGCATGCAAGTAACTATTGTATTCCATTGCACAAATTGTGTGTATTGACATGTTACGCGTCGTGCTACCTATAGTCAGAGCATGTCACAGAATCACTAACAAGAAGCTATCTTGTGTTTACGTTTAATTACTTTGTGTTACAAGGTCAGAGTTGCTAAGGCTGATCAGAGTAAATTGTGCAGAGACTGTTGTGCTTAAAGTGTACCACGGGCTGTTGTAACAGTTATTATGGACACCTGTCGTGTGACTGTTAAATCACCGTTAGTCTTATACCGGAACGGTAATTGTGTTTGGTTATCTGGCCTCTAAAATCTATATACAGCACATATAGTATTTTTTATCCGGGGAAATGAGAGATGTAGTATTCTGCTATCAGATGATGACTGCTCTAATTGTTATGTTCAAACAGTTGCATTGTGTGATCAGGGGCTCGGAGAATAAATGGCTAACCTGGCAGTTATTACAATGTCTAATATTAAAAATCCACCTGAGGCTGATAGGCAGGCATACGCAGCAGAAGTGATGAATGCTACCCAGCCATTGTTAGCATTAAAGCAGTTTCCTTGTCCATCTCCTCATTGCCCAGGGGCAAAATCAGACACTGGGAATATTTTTGTCCCGATTGTCACTTTGCGACTGTGACGGACAATGAACGTCCTCTCACCTTGCACGAATCCTCGTGAGGCTATCTGATGGATCTTCGAAATGGTTCATTACAGTGCAGTGACATTAGCTATTAGTGTGGAAGTCCTCCGGGGATATCCGCAGATATGTGTTGGGTAACAGCGAGTCGCGCATGACTATAGTCACCTACCGGTCTGCGCCCGAAAGGCATCGATGCGTGATTGTGTCGACTAAAGACCATGCAGTACTCTGCACGGCCTTTACTTGACAGCACGCTTAACTGTAACGTTTTTTTTCTGTAGGTAATAATTCATCCATGTATGTATTCTATTACAGTCATTTTTTTTTATTTTAAGATTCTAGATATGGCATGGGTAAATGCACAAAAAGTATGACACGCAAACCTATTTAAATTGTGCTCCTTGCTACATTATTTTTAATCTTAACAATAGGGCATTTTACAAATTTTATACATATTTCTACACTATTTACAATTTGATATACCAGTGGAAATCGAACTATAATCGATACGGCTTCCACCGTTTCAACCTTTTGCACTTACTTTTCCAATTAATGATGCTCATTATATTTTGGGTACCCGTATTAAACATCATGTGGCGCCGTATGCTTTCGGTAGCATCGAGAATAACTAAGCACAACTGTTAGAGCTGAAAATGGGTCCCGTTTATGATCTGTTCTTAGTTATCGGTTGTGTATTTTGCAGGTACAGTCAGCTTGAGTAGTGTTGCCTCTATTGATAAAGAGGTACTGAAGTCCAGTCTCAACACAAGCTACCGGAAGCTTGACCACGTGACTGGCGTATGTGTTCCATGCCTGAATGCAGTGTTCACTCTTATTTATGCTTACCATACAACCAAACCTGACCCTTTTAATTTTTTTACTTGTTTTCGATGCATCATTCTTCTCCATTGCATAACATCATGTAAACCGTAACGTGTAAATGTAATGCGTAACATCAAGTTGAAATCGTAAGAGACGTAGCTGGAACTTTCCCACATAATTAGTTGTCAGAAAATCAGTCATGGGTTATTCACGCATTCTCTATTTTACATCCAGTTGCTGCAAGAAAGTGAGGAAACAGTAGCCAGGTTAACTGAACAGGCGAAAGTCTTGAAACAGGAGATTCGAAGGTGCTTAAAGTTTGGAATAAGTATCAATATTAATAACTAAGCGAGCAAGTTAAAAAAATATTGTTTGGAATCATTTAACAGTCATTATCGCAACAGTTCAGCTAGGACTGTTTCATGATGCAAATTGAACGAATGTTTCGAATACCAACTAAAATTATTAGCATCCACCGTAAAACCTATTGGTTACCAGCTAGACGGTAGACGTAAACTAACATCACTGTGGAAAAAATGTGGTGAGATGATCCTGGATTTGAAAATTACTATCTGAAGTACATTTTTAGTGAGCAATGACAATCGTCTTTCATTGCAGACTAGAGAGGAATCAGCAACGAGAAAAACACGCTCAAAACCTGGAGTACCTAAAGAATGTGGTGATGAAGGTGAGTGGTACTGCTCACTTTAACTTGATGTTGTGGCAGAAGCAATGTACCACATGTGATTTGCTTCCATTGACTGTAGCCGTGCAAGGTGCACAAATGGTGATAGTCTAGTGTTGATGTTACCAGAGCTTTGAGCTGTAAGCCAAGCTGCCATTAAGTTCGTTCACAAATAATGCAAACCAGACTTTTCACAGGCTCTTATCACCTTTACCTGATAGAAAAGCTGTTATAATACTCAGGATCAACGAAAACAAAAAGAAACAATAAACAGTAAATGCTGAAAAACAAACAATAACAAAACAAACAAAACGGAAGCGTCGCGTCAACATCTGCCTGACAACCAAGTGTAGCCGCGTGCGGTTCGCTGTCGCTGAACGTCTGCTTGTTACTCTAGTTTTTCAGCCTGCAGAAGGGCGACGAGAAGCGGCGACTCATCCCTGTGCTCATCACGATGCTGCGGCTGAGCCCGGAGGAAGGACAGATCCTCATGAAATGCGCAACAGGTACGTAGCCTGCTGAGTGCTGTGCGAGGAAGGCGTGCCGTCGACACACGGCCGCGGATTCAGATTGCCGGGTAGCGGGCAATGTCCGTGATTGACCGATCTGTTTGCGTCGATCGACGGGTTCCTCTAGCCAGTCGGCGTTGCGATCGGAGTGCTCTTAAATGCTGTGTCCTAACGAAGTGCCACAACGTTGACATTTTCGTGTTCACAACTGGATAAACCGGTCGACCTAGCAGCAACACCCAACTGGATCTTGGTCTGACGGTTAGGTCAATTTTGTTGTGGTACAATTATGGTGATTTTTAAGGCAACAGAGTATATGACTATGGGTGCGGGACAAGTCGGGAGGTTTCGTGATCACCTTCTTCGCCCTTCGTGATTACGTGATGACAGATTGTCAAGATGTGAAAGACACCTTTCATTGTTGTTGTTTTTCGCAGGAGAAGATGGTGATGCAGAAGGGGACGGGTCAGGATGGGGCAACTACCTTCATCGATGGTCTGGCCTGACGTGAGCATCCCCCTCGACGTCCGCGCCATCGTGTCACACACACACACACACACACAGTGGAGACCATCTGTCATTCCATGCGTTAGACCATTGATCTCTATTTTCTAACTGGATAGCAGTTAGCCAATCCATGGTCAGTGAGAAAGTGAAGTTACCGCACCACTAGCCACTGTCTTGTGGCCTCTCTCAAATGCTCGACTATGCCGGTGTGTTTGCTCCATAGCATTTTAAATCGAAATTGATGACATGCAGCTTATTTTATCATTCCCATTCACAAGAAAACAAACATTGATAAATACATACAAGAATATATATATATATAATATATATAGATGGTATGATGTCACGAGTCACGTGAAAACTCGGCTCAGTTTATTCTACTATATTATACTACTTCTGGGAGTGGTGATTAAGACTTACGGAGGATTCACTTAGTGGCCGCGAAGACCTAACGAGTTAGTATATAGAGATCAGTGCGTTAGACACGTTGACGGTTCAACAGTCTTGACTCCATCATTCTTACCGTTCTCAGTCGTGGTTTGCGTCTCTTGTAAGAGCTTACGGCCAGCAATAATCGGCAAGCTTTCATGAGCCTGGAGCCAGTTGTATGAAGCATCATAAATAGTTATGACGTCTTACGTCTGAAATGTCGTAACTTTTGAAGGGCTGTGTCGTGTTAAGGGTTGGGTAGTTAGTGTTTGCTTTTTAGGACATTTTATTGAAATTTCCCGATCAGTGTTTGGTTGGAATTAAGGGTGGTTGACACTTACAAATTAACATGACGCGACGCATATTGCTTAGATCGATATTTAATGCAGGACAAATACACGTAGAACTCATCTAAAAGTACTGCCTGCTGCAACAGGGTTTGCTCTGATTGTTGGGAGTCGTATCGAACTAGGCTGAAGGCTAATTTGCCAAACAACTTTGGTGTTCTGCGGAACACATCATCTTGACTACCGTGTCACCGTTATGACGACGACTCTCATGCTAGCTAAGCCTTGTAAATTATGCGTCTGTTGTCTTATTTTGTTATAAGAGTGAATGTCAACACAGAATCTATTACAAATCTCTTACGTGATAGAGAGCTGCAGAGATGATTTAAACAAAAAAAGGTTCTTATTCTGTAATTTCCATGCACACATCGTGAAAATTGCCATTTCTCAAGACGATCGAGCATATAAGCAGTGCAGTCTAGTAGGTCTGGTAATTTAACCGTGAAAGATCAACGAAAACACCTAAAACCATCCTTCTTTAATAAGTAGGCTTGTTAATTCCGTTTGAAAGGTTTTGTAATATTGAGTGGGATTCTGCGTGCATGATGGCTTTTATTTGTCTCTGAGTAATCAAGTTGTTAAAAATTATTACATAATATATAGTAATCTATTGCTAATTTAACACAAACTTGTTTCGAGTTTGTTTTTGAACGCTGCTGAAAGGTTTAATTGCAACGCTTTCCGCTCAAAAGCTCATTACACTGCTCACTAACAAAATCAAAGCAATTCACATCGCTGCTGGTATAATAATGCATGTCATATAGGGTAGGTACTAAGATAATCGTTGTTTACAGCAATAAAAGGCATTATAACTCAGTGTCACGGGTTAATTATTAGACATTTATAACTTTAATCCTTTATCCTTTAAATAATCTTTTAAACTTTTATAGGCTTTAATCCTTTTAACACCTAGACGTCACACGTGATCTCTAGCACGCTATTATCCACTAATCATTGTACACGTTTTCACGTCCATTAGACGAATCCAGCTCAAAACCCGATACCCGTGCAATCGTCTGCAATGCAGCACGGCGCGCAAAGTGAAGAAATTACTTATTCCCCGCTCTCTACCGACACCAATCATCCTGGAGAATACACGTCAGTGTCTGATCTCGGGTGGGGGAAATGGGGAGTCGAACGCTCACGTACACAATGCAACGCGCAGGTTGCAGACCTGCGCCCGCGGGAACGACCTAATCGCACCGTGCGGGTGCACGTGGGTGAGCCCACGTGCGCGTCCTGCGCAGGTTCGCGTTGTCGACCAAGCGGTCCGGTTTCTGCTCTCCTGTCGCTCGCTTAAATCAGGGCAGCTGGTTGCGAGGGCGAGGCTGTTTGATGCTGCGCTGATCCTACAGAGGCAGCAGACGGCCACCGTGGCAGCAGCTGCAGCACAACTTACTGTCGCACAACCGCCGCGCCGAAGCACAAGAGGTGAAATTTTTGCGCTGGTAGCAAGAGAGAGGGGAGGGAGTACAAGGTGCGTATTCTACTGCGCTATTAACGGCGCCTTGCTTGTCTTAGCCGAATGTGTTGTTAGATATGAGCCTTATGTATTCGTTCTTGATTTTATTAATTGAAGAACTGCGCAAAAAGTCCGTGGCTTCGACGTGAATGGTTTTACGGTATTTCAACGAGGTAAATTGCGAATGCAGTCATTGTTTTCGGATTTAAAGATAGGTAAACCGTGGTGAGGGGGTCTGATATATATATATATATATATATATATATATATATATATATATATATATATCGTATCATTAGTATTCCGTATATCTTATCACATAGACAAACGATGCAAGGTCAAAAATGGTAACGACATATAAGAAAGCTGCTCGATAGTCGATACACCGATGAACTAGATATGTGGTGTGCGCGTGCGTATGTTGCGTCTGTTCCTACGTGCCTGCGTGCATTACATGCCTGCTGCCACTTCTCTTCCTCATCTCCCTCTCTCTCCTCCTATTGTTTTTCCTCTGTCTTTCCCCTCTCGTTTTCTCTCTTTCTGTCCTATTCCAACCTACGCTCTTATATAGCTTCCTAATTATGTTTGCTCATAGATCGAAGACGTAGGGGCAGTGTCAGCTAGTGGTATGTGTAATATATTATATGTAGTAGTACTGATGTGTATGTAGTAGTTTTCATAGTACACGTATCATATATAACGAGACAGGCTATCCACATGAGGTGCGTTTCTACGAATGAATTACCTTGGCAGTTTCTGCGGAAAACGTCTTCAGACGACTCTTTCTTTGGTTGCACATGTTAAGGTCGTTGCTATGACGTTTTCCTATGCCTATGGCTGCTATCTCAATACCCTTACCTACCCTAAACTCTGGCTCTTTAACAGTTGGCTGATGCCTAGGAGGACCTCTGTGGACGAATTCGGATTTGTGACGTCCCCACCTATATAAGTTCGTACACGTCACCTACACTGAAGGCTTCTTTACATCGGCAGTAGCAGCAATAGAATAAGCACCAGAAGTCGTTGTAGCAGCAGCCGCAGCAGCAGCAACAACAACAACATCAACATCAACAGCAACAGCAACAACAGCAACAACAACCGCAGTAATAAAAGCAGAACCGGAAGCATTCGCTATAACAGTAGCTGTCGCAACATCCATCAATAATAATAGTAGTAGTAGTAGTAGTAGTAGTAGTAGTAGTAGTAGTAGTAGTAGTAGTAGTAGTAGTAGTAGTAGTAGCAGGAGTAGAGCACCTATATTATCTTACTCCTGGTAGTAGTAGAGAAGAAGAAGAAGTAGAAGAAGAAGAAAGAAAGAAGAAGAAGACGCGGCAGTCGTTGTCGTCGTCGTCGTCGTCGCCGTTGTAGTTGTCGTCGTCGTCGTCGTCGTCGCCGTTGTAGTTGTCGTCGTCGTCGCCGTAGTAGTAAATACGTAGTAGTAGTAGTAGTAGTAGTAAGTAGTAGTAGTAGTAGTAGTAGTAAGTAGTAGAAGTAGTAGTAGCACAGCACAGCAGCAGCAGCAGCAGCGTGCAGTATAGTAGCGTAGTAGTAGTAGTTAAGTAGTAGTAGTAAGTAGTAGTAGTAGTAGTAGTAGTAAAAATAGTAGTCGTAGTAGTAGTATATTAGTAGTAGTAGTAGTAAGTAGGTAGTAGTAGTATAGTAGTAGTAGTAAGTGAGTAGTAGTAGTAGTAATAGTAGTAGTGGGTAGTAGTAACAACAGCAGCAATAGAAAAAGGAGAAAAAGAAGAAGAAGAAGAAGAAGAAGAGGAGGAGGAGGAGGAGGAGGAGGAGGAGGAGGAGGAGAAGGAGGTGGCAGAGGAGGAGGAGGAAGGAGGAGAAGGAGGTAAAAAGACAAGAAGAAGAAGACGGTGAAGAACAAGATATAACAAGTCAAGTGTTCACGACTCGTGGCTCGGAGTCCACGTGAAACACGCCGTAGCCAAAAAAAAACAATGCGCGATGGGATAGAGATGCGCCTCATGATGGTTACCGTCGTAGTGATGCTGCAACTCGGGTGGGTCGCTGGCGAGGTGACGTGCATTCTAGAGCCTTACCAGCAGGTGATCAACGGCGTTGAAGGCAGGACAGCGCATATTCACATGGGACAGTGCCTCTCCATCGATCGCTACTACATTAGGTATGATATGCATGATCGCTTCTTTCGTTCCACGCTGCATTCGTGAAACCATTTTTGATCCGGGATTTTTCCAAGAGAGCCGCAATCCGTAACAGATGCCAAAAAATGGAATTCTTCATCTCTGTGAAACTCTCCCAACGAAATCTACATAAGTAAGACTCCCTGAAGAATGCCATTCACACCTGTGGGGAAAGAATTCGTTTTTGTTTTCGCTAATGCCAGTTCAGCGTCAGTTCATATTCCACGCACAATGATGTATATCAATCTGTAGAGTGATGTGTATCTGTACGTTGGAGGAGCAAAGCCACGTACGTTTTGCGTCCTGGACAGTTGACGGTGGGGAAATCGACGTGGCCGCTGCCAAGGCCTGAAAGCAAGAGTAGCAGCCCCCACTGTCACCCACCCCCTTGCTAGCTACACTCCTGTATATGTAATCTTGTTGAAACTATACACCAGTAGGGAGCACATATTCAGAAATAATTAGATGTAAAAAAATGCTGATCCAGATCACCCACTTTGCTAATTTTATAAGGCAGAAAATTCATCAACTCTCCTTTAAACGTGAAATAGATGATAGTGGCAGGTGTTTCTGTGCGCATGCCTACTACCTGTTAACAGAGCTCACGTTTTAGTGGAATTATGCGTTTAAAACGAAGAGGATATATAATCAAGAATAGATTTTTTTGGGAAATGTGGAACGCATTGACTCCCTAATATAATAAGAGGGACCCCATCTTATGAACATCTCGAATTCGTCGTTTTCGTTGCCGTTGGCCGGCGCTATTGTTGCTCATTAGCAGCAGTGTACGGTGCTAAACGAAATATATTCATATATATTGTGGTTAAAATAAGACAAGAGCATGGAACACACACTTAGCAGTAGTTATATATATATATAGTATGATAAATAGTATAATATATATATTACTATATATATCCTGATCTCAATGACTAAAAAATTTAAAATATGACAAGAGCATGGAACACACACTTATAGCAGTAGTTATATATATAATATATATATATAAATCCTGATCTCAATGACTTACAAATTTAATTACATGGCGGAATATGTTCCAAACATGCGATAGCTTATAGGGTCAGACGTGTCACAGAATTATCTGCTAATAAAAGTCACATTTTGCGGGAATTAAATATTTAAAAAGGAAAGGATATATTAAGGAATAGGTTTCCATAACAAAATGTCAAAGGTATTGTGTTCATATAATAAGAGGGAACGTTGCTCTTCTGACCATCCATTATTCGGCCAAATTGATTTCGACATTTGGCCGTTGATCGGCGCTAGTGTCGTACATTAGAAACAGTGTATATTATAGTATAATATATATAGTACATACATATATATAATTATAGTATATACATATGTAGCAGTATATTCATACTACGATATAATCATATATCGTTTTTAGTTATACAGGGGTAGTGAACACACACATATGAGTAGTTACACAAGTAAGAATGTTGATCACAATTTAAGGCCGCACTCTTCCGAACCTCTTTAAACATGACATGGATGATAGCGCCAGCTGTTTTTGTGCGCGTGCTACTAAACGTTAATAAAACTCTCATTGTTGAAATAATTGTTGAAAACGAACAGGACATACTCAAAAATAAGTGTCAATACAAAATGAGAAATGACTCGCCTGTCTTGTACAATAAGAGGGAGCCCAATTATCTTAACATACCGATAGCTCAGAACACCGAACGAAATTGTGTAAATTCTTTGGTAGTGTTGATCGGTAGTGTCGCGTAAAAGAAGAAGTGTGTTATATAAAATACGAAAAATATATACGTGCTATACGAAATATATTCATGTCAGGGCGCAGCTAACTCATTTTTTCGGAGAGCAAAGCAACGAGCGGTTTTCGAACTGGACAATTTACCGCGTGCATGCGGGACAGTTCCCCCTCGTATCTCCTTTCCCCGCTGGCTACGGCTCAGTAAGTGCTACACGTGAGCTTTGGGAGTGGACGTGACGACTCTATACGCCCACCCCCCCCCCACAGTGACACACACACACCTCACACCACAGCGGCAGCGCGGTCAGACACTGTCTCCATACCTTAGCTCCCAATGCTACAGCTAGTAAATGACGAAATTTATAATACAGTCATAGTTGTCTCTACCGAATATTTTGCAATGTAATAATAGAACAAGCTATATTCAATAATATATAACTTATAGCTTGTGGTATTATTACCTGTTGTCGTTGTAACTTCTGTGACGCGTATCTCAAAATGTGCGTGCGCGTGCTTATGTGTGTGCGTAATTGCGTAAGTGAGTCCGTGCGTGCGTTCATGCGTGCGTGACAGCGTCCGTGGTACTACCGTGTATGCTATGTAGTAAAATTAATACAAATTTCCCTCCTCCAGCCCGTTCTTTAGACCTATTTCGGCTGTTGATAGTCGGTTGTTGTTATAGGCGAATACACCTGTTAAATTTGTCGACAAAATTAGCCTAAATTAGACGAGCGATTAAAAGTGTCGCACTACAAATGCCACCATCAACACGAATTCACGGTTTGCTGCGTTGCTAGTTGATCATAATCACTCCATTAGTACTGCCGCTACCCCAGGCCATATCTCAATGTACTCTAATGGTACAATAAATACTGCTTCTTTGATCACACGGTATTACTACTTCGTCAATAAGTACGATTAGCAAAATTTAAACGAATAGATTAGATAGGCGAATGGCCTGAAACTATTGTTTGTGAAATGTATTAACCGTCACAGCTTTCCGTAGTTTGGCTTTTGACTCACCAGATGGCACCACAAGTTTACCCGCGAGTGTTTGGCATTAGCTTAGTATTGTTTGACGTACGCTCTTTATTTATTAGAAGCCATTTCATAACAGATACATATATATATATATATATATATATATATATATATATATATATATTACTTTTGTTGATAATAAAACTTACATGACAATTATATCTGTGCGCCCGGCGCTTCTGCCTGCATTCTTATTTATGAATACTCGTACTTATTAAACGGTAGCGTCTGTGTTTCATCGTGAATTTCGACATAGTAGCACTTACCGCGTTCGCGTACCCACCATGGAGAGGCCCATTCTTAGCAGCATTATAAGTAATCAAGACATCGTCTAAATTGACCGGTGACAAGTAGACAAGTTTCAACCTTGGAAGCAAAGTACCGCGAAAACACCGTGCTCGATTGTAGAATTACGATATTCCTAAACATTTACGATGTGTCTGACAACGAGTTCCAGTCTGATCGGATGCACCTTCCGTTTTTTTACCTTCGTGTTCGCGTGTCGCAGTCGGAACGCGAGCCCCGAATCTAGCAAGGCGCATATCGCTTTGTTCACGCGGGAGCCGGCACGTGGGCGGGCTTCACGCGTCTTTGTCCCGTCAGCGATTGTTCCCGCGCCGCCGCGTCACGGTTGTCGCCACGCGCGTCTATTGCGTCGCGCTAATGCATTACATTGGAGGCGTTTACTTTTAGCGATGGATATGGATGAGCAGCCGTGGCGTACAAAGCGACACCGACGCGGCGGTTATATCTTTGTTTCGCCGTGACGATGTCGCGGTTTGTCAGTCCCAGACGTTTTTTTGCACAGCTTCCAAATCTTCTGTTCATCTAAATTCTAGAATAATGACCGTGCAGATGGCGTGTGCTAACGGCCTGATTCAGCCCGCTTAGCCGAGCGTCTAATATCACTGCTAATATGTATATATATATATATATATATATATTATATATATATATATATATAATGTTATTTTCTAAACGAAATTCCTTTTAGATTAGTATAGATTCACCTGACTTTGATAACTGTACTGCTGATACCATAGCACGACGCACAAGTAAATATCATAAATTCTTACTGTGATGGTGAATTTGGCTTCAGCACCCCGTCTTCGGCTGTAGACCGCAAGCGTCTGTGGCAGTCTAGTAAACCTTTGTTGTATATCAAGCCTCGATATGAAGGTTGACATTTCGTGACTCTAAGATCGTTCGCAATGATTGCGCTGTCCTGTATATTACTTATACACGCAGGGGATTCCTTTTTATTTTGCTTTGTTATACAAATGTATCAGTCATCTTAGATCGTAGGCATCGTAACTGTGTCGTAGTGTACAGTCAAAAACGGTCTCCGTGCATTGCTATATTGACCACAGGGCATACGTGCTTGCTGACCGCACCATGTGCCAGCGATAATTCTAAGTGCCTCTAATGGTCAGCGAGTGATGCACTTCCTGCCTGCGGGCGTATATGCGCGCGTATAATTATGCTATGCGGTGGGAACGTATTCTAGCAGCGCTAGATGCAACGCCAGACCAGCTGATTCTAAGCTAAAATCTGCAAACGAGCGTACAGCTCACAGCGTACAGATGACGAGTGTTTTCTAAGATCTATAGCATATCTTTTTTTACAGGTCGGAATTGTCTATAGCGGGAGACGAGATAGATTTCTACGTCGCCGAACGCAACTGCTGCTGCAAAGTCGGCAGTTACCTACACAAATCCATCATCATAGGTCCGATTAGACTCAGCTATAAACACATACACGACTGCGTCTGCAGCGAATGTGAGGAGCCAAACAAACTGCCGGCGCTATCGAAATAATGACACTGTTTACTGCATATTATATATATATAACACTATGGAACTTTATATACATCTGAAGACCTAATAAAGTGAGACAACATAAATTATGTATCCAGTTGTTGTTATTTCAATTTTCTGTGTAATCTAATTTGCATTTGGAAAACTTAACTTTATATATATTATATATATATATATATATAATATATATATATATATATATATATATATACTGTTCACGTGTAAGAAAATTGTATTAGATGGTTAGGGTATGTTTAGGACCTGTAACGTTCAACGTATTAGCTGAGAGTGCGCTCATCGATAGCATTTTGATATTATTTTATTGCTCCCTTTTCATTGGTTGCTTCAATGAGATTAGAATTTCAATGCACTCTAAAAGGAAATGTCAATTCGAATCGTTCGCAAACGTTACTTTCGCTCGGCGATAAGCATCACTAAAAACGCAATCATTGGCGCAATTAATGTGTCCAGCAATATTTCGGCTAGTGTTTATGTTTCATTTTGGCAAACATCTACCCCCACCCCCCCCCGAATATCGCGGCCATCTTACAATCGTTGGAAAGTGGCGGAAATGAACACGGGAGATTTGAGAGATTGCATGACTGAGAGGAAAAACGTGCGGTAGAGCTTATCTTGTAGTGTAATGCTCCTATCTTGTAAACAACTGAGATCAATACAAAAGTGTAGTTCATAGATACTAGCGTTAGCGTGGCTACACCGATCTGATGACGCAGAACCCGAACACCGAAACGGAGCATTTAGGTCCAAATGAATTCGATTATTTCGAAGGTTTTCTCAATGGCGATCAAGCTGGTAAACGGGCGATACAAACCGGTTTCGATTCTTCTTGCGTTCTTCTTCTTCTTCTTGCGTTCTTCTTAGCGATCAATTAATCTTGGATACGCTTTCGGTCGTGGAAATGGTAAATACGGAAAATTAATTACAAGTACTAGGAGAGGCAACGACCGGGCTTCCAGAGTATCGCGTTGCGGTGCTTTTATACGAGCTGCCTCTGGTGGCAGCCCTCTTGAAAGGTCGCATGAACCGAGCATTGATCCCTATGCATATTAGCCGCTCCTTGGCTAAAGCCGGCACATTTGTACGGGTAGTAATTAAAACGCTAGCCTAACGCCAAAAAATAGAGAGCTTAGAATGCCATTAGAAGTAAACTCGACTATTAATTAATACTGATAAATTTCAAAATTCGCCGACGTAATGAAGTATTCGTAAAGATGATCGGCTTGCGTTGCGTAAACAGACAATTTAGAACAATAAATCAAAGCTGTCAGCTTCCGACGTGCGTAGCGCACATGTCTGCAGCGCGCAATTTATGTCCGCCACGATTTCTGCACGCAGATTATTAGGCACTCCGGGCGCTCTAATGCGTGTAGTGTCCCACAGCGTACTGCGCGTAATTACCTGGGTACGGTCCGGTTCCGGAACGTTTATTGGGTACTATCGAGCTGATAAATATGGTTGGCGTTAGGGTGTAGGCTTAGGGGATAGGGTAGGGTGTAGTTTTAGGGTTAGGTTAGTGGCTTCAGGAGATAGCGGTAGGCGGACTCCCTAGAATCCGTTGTGAGTAGGCGAGAGTTACGCGTCCGGCATATTATATAGTAGTATTAGTACAGTGTACGTTCCGGCGGGTATACCGCGAACCTGTACCCAGGGTACGTTCCAGCAGTACCCTGGGGGACATAGACCCTCTCAGCGACACTGCTCGCCCTGTGCGCCCCTGTATCAATCTTCGACCGCGTATATACTCTGGCACGAAGTCAAATACGCATACACAGAAGCAATGCACACAACAATCCCGCTATTAATCGATCTTCGTCTTGTCTACACCCTTCTATACACACATAATGAATTATAGATAACGGTCAGACATGGCGGGAGGCGGTTAGAGATGGATTCTATTTTCTGCGTTCTCCCCCCCCCTTCGCCTCAATTTCAGATTGCGGCACCGCTGACATCGCCCATACTAATGCCGTGGTCGCCGTGCGCCGCGTGGCAGGAGCGAGGGAAGCAGAGAGAGACGAGACCGCAAGCCGTTTGCAACTGCGAGTTAGCTTGGTTACGGCTACGCGCGATGGCAGCGATGGTGCAGAGCAGGCACGCACTGGATCGCGCTCATCACGTCACCTTATCGATTCGACGGTACTCGCCGCCTGTGTTTTCTAACTGTTTTAGTGCCAGTCTACGCCGGGTTAGATTTGTCGAGGGCATATGTAGGGAACGTCCTACGCCCGGCTGTTAGATTGCTGTGAGAATTAATGTAGGGAAGCTACCCCGGGTTAGAATTGTGTGACGGAATATGTAAGGCGAACGTCTACGCCGGTGTTAGATTGTGTGAAAATATGTAGGGAAGTCTACGCGCGGGTCAGATTGGCTGTGGGTATGTAGGGAAGTCTACGCCCGGTTAGCTTGTGTGAGAATATGTAAGTGGAAGTTAGAGCCGGGTTAGATTGTGTGAGAATATGTATCGAAAGTTTACGGCGGCCGTTAGCTTGTGTTGGAATGGGTTAGGGAAGTCTACGCCCGCGTTAGATTGTGTGAGAAATGTAGTGAAGTCTAAGCCCGGCGTTAGATTGGTGTGAGAATATGTAGTGCGAGTCTACGGCCCGGGTTAGATTAGTGCGAGAATATGTAGGCGAAGTCTTACGCCCTGGTTAGATTGTGGGTGTGAGATATTTAGGGAAGTCTACGCCCGGCTTGGGGGCGGGCGACTTAGATTGTGTGAGGATATGTGGGGAAGGTTCTCGCCACGGGTTCGATTGTGTGAGGAATATGTAGGAAGTCATAACGCCGGGTTAGTTACATGTGAGAATATGTAGGGAAGTCTACGCCCGGGTTAGATTGTGTGAGAATATGTAGGGAAGTCTACGCTCGGGTTAGATTGTGTGAGAATATGTAGGGAAGTCTACGCCCGGGTTAGATTGTGTGAGAATATGTAGGGAAGTCTACGCGCGGGTTAAATTGTGTAAGAATGTGTAGTGAAGTCTACAGGCTGATTAGATTGTGTGAGATATGTAGTGCAGTCTACAGGCGGGTTAGATTTGTGAGAATATGTAAGAAAGTCTACGCGCGGGTTAGATTGTGTAAGGATATGGCGTGCAGTTTACAGGCGGGCTAGATGGCATAAGCAGACGTACGTATGGTTGTCTTCTGGTGGGCTAGATGGTGTGAAGAGACCTACTGAAGTCCGTTCTCGGGTTAAATGGTGTGAGGGCATGTAGTGCAGTTAACAAGCGGGTTAGATAGTGCAAGGATATGTANCCCTTCTATACACACATAATGAATTATAGATAACGGTCAGACATGGACGGAGAGGGGTTAGAGATGGATTCTATTTTTCTGCGTTACTCCCCCCCCCCCTTCGCTCAATTCCGCTGCGGACCGCTGACATCGCCCATACTAAATGCGTGGTCGCGTGCGCGCGTGGCAGAGAGCGGGAAAGAGAGAGAGAGAGACCCGCAAGCGTTGTAAGTGAGTTAGCTGGTTACAGGCTACGCGGCGATGGCATGCGATGGTGGCAGAGCGGCACGCACTGGACGCGCTATCACGTCACCTTATCGATTCGACGGTAACTCGCCGCCATCGTGTTTCTACTGTGTAGTGCAGTCTACGCCCGGGTTAGATTTGTGAGGATATGTAGGGAAGTCTACGCCCGGGTTAGATTGTGTGAGAATATGTAGGGAAGTCTACGCCCGGGTTAGATTGTGTGAGAATATGTAGGGAAGTCTACGCCCGGGTTAGATTGTGTGAGAATATGTAGTGCAGTCTACGCCCGGGTTAGATTGTGTGAGAATATGTAGGGAAGTCTACGCCCTGGNTGTGAGAATATGTAGGAAAGTTTACGCGCGGGTTAGATTGTGTGAGAATATGTAGGGAAGTCTACTCCCGGGTTAGATTGTGTGAGAATGTGTAGTGAAGTCTACGCGCGGGTTAGATTGTGTGAGAATAATGTATTATGTAGGGAAGTCTACGCGCGGGTTAGATTGTGTGAAAATGTGTAGTGCCGGCTACGCGCGGGTTAGATTTGTAAGAATATGTAGGAAAGTTTACGCGCGGGTTAGATTGTGTGAGAATATGTAGGGAAGTCTACGCCCGGGTTAGATTGTGTGAGAATATGTAGGGAAGTCTCCAGGGCGTAGACTTCCCTACATATTCTCACACAATCTAACCCGGGCGTAGACTGCACTACATATTCTCACACAATCTAACCCGGGCGTAGACTTCACTACATATTCTCACACAATCTAACCCGGGCGTAGACTTCCCTACATATTCTCACACAATCTAACCCGGGCGTTACATATTCTCACACAATCTAACAATCTAACCCGGGCGTAGACTTCCCGACAACCATACGCACGTCTCCTTATGCCATCTAGCCCGCCTGTAAACTGCACTACATATCCTTGCACTATCTAACCCGCTTGTTAACTGCACTACATGCCCTCACACCATTTAACCCGAGAACGGACTTCAGTAGGTCTCTTCACACCATCTAGCCCACCAGAAGACAACCATACGTACGTCTGCTTATGCCATCTAGCCCGCCTGTAAACTGCACGCCATATCCTCACACAATCTAACCCGCGCGTAGACTTTCTTACATATTCTCACATTCCGATGGGCTAGAGTGTTTGAAGAGACCCACTGAAGTCCGTTCGTGGGTCAGATAGTGTGGAAATATGTATTGAAGTTTACAGGCGGGCTAGATGGCATAAGGAGACGGACGTATGGTTGTCTTCCGATGGGCTAGAGTGTGTGAAGAGACCTACTGACGTCCGTTCGTGGGCCAGATAGCGTGAGAATATGTATTGTAGTTTACAGTCGGGCTAGATGGCATAAGGAGACGTGCGTATATGGTTGTCTTCTGGTGAGCTAGATGGTGTGAAGAGACCTACTGAAGTCCGTTCGTGGGTCAGATAGTGTGAAAATATGTTGTGCAGTTTACGCGCCGGTTAGATGGTGTGAAGAGACCTACTGAAGTCCGTTCTCTTGTTAAATGGTGTGAGGGCATGTAGTGCAGTTAACAAGCGGGTTAGATAGTGCAAGGATATGTAGTGCAG